GCGCCGCATGCGCTGCTGCTCGTCACCCGCCCGTACCACCGCTGCGCCGGGCTGCCAGCGCCGCCGCCGTCCGGTCAGCGCTGCGAGCTCCTCCGCCGCCGCGCAGGTCCTCGGCGGGCCCCCTGCAAATTGAAACGTGATTATGTGGGACTAATCATTAGACCAACGCTCGCGCGGCAGTTCGCTTCAACAGCGTTGCGGCACGGTTGAGCCGCCCGTTGGACTACTCGCTGCCGGAGAACTGACCTCACATCTCACTCTATACATCACGTTACGGCAGCAGCAACATCGCCAGGCGAGCCCAGGCACGAACAATGCGCGTCGTCTCCCCTAGCCATGAAATGATCATGCGCCTGTCCGTTCGGCCCTTTACCCACGACCATCAAGTTCCACAGTCACAAGACAAACCCACAGCCCACGCAGCATCCATGCAGCGCCACCGAGCGCTCGTGGTGCCGGAGTGAGCGGTTCCACGTGCAGAGCCGACCGTTACACGCGCGCTGCACCGCGACCCAACAGTCACCACTCCCATTGCGAGAGACAGGCCGGCGCATAGTGGCCCAATCTTGGCTGCTTCTGCTGCAGGCTTCCATCAGCTGAATCGATGAACACTGCACCAGCCGATACGAATGTACCTGCGCTGTGGTCGACGCAGTGCTGGCATGCGGTGGCGCATATTATTAGGAGGTACCTTATGTACGATGTGTTCGAGCATCGCTCTCGGGTGCTGTGAACCTGCCCAGCGGTCCTGACCCCTGGGTTCTATACTGATCCATTCAATGCAGTGTCGCCGAAATGTCTGCTATACATGCCCAGCGCCTTGATCGGGAAGATGAATTTGTAGTTTGGATAGGAGATCATGCTGTGAACCCGGATGTTAGCGTGGCGGACGAACCGTATTCTGGGACGGAAAGTCTCACCAACTCTTGTTGAACACGCCCTCAATACCCTCCTGCAACCACTCGCCATTGGGTTGCTGCCTGCTCATGATGAGCTTCACCGCGCGGTCGATGGGATCACGATCTGGATAGCCAGCCTCGATCAAAGCAATGACGACCTGTCAACAGTCAGTTGCACGCCACTTTACGCACGCACAGATGCAGCACTTACCCAAGCCGTCTGCACGACTTGCGAGCCATCAGGATGCCGACACCATGTAACGGTCTCACAGCTCTTGTACGATTCGCCCCAACCACCGTCTGCCTCTTGGCGATCGAGGAAGAAATGACAGGCTCGCCTGACCCGCTCACTGTTTTCGTATGTCTCACCTTGAGTCTTCAGACTCTCCAGCGCAAACCATCCAGCATACGAAAAGCAGATTCCCCAGCTGCCGTACCAAGATCCATCCGGAGCTTGGTCGCGTCGGATCCAATCGACAGCACGAGACACGAATTTCTTAATCTCCGCAGCACGATAATCTGGGTAGTCCTTTCGGAAGCGCTCGAGCGCCGTGACACATGCAGTTGTGCATTCCGGGTATGGGTATTCGACCATGATGCGCCCGAAGACCTCAGCTGCATTGAGGTACTCCATCTTTGTGCTGCCTCGCGTGGGTTCGTACGAGCTGCAGGAACCATCGCTGTTCTGCATGGTGAGAAGGATGTCAACAGCCCACTTGAGACGCTTCTCGCTCAGGAGAGTCGGGAACAAACTAGTGCGACCATCCTTCGGGTCCACCGTGGACTGCAACGCCATGGTCGCCTTGACAGCTTCCGCTGTGCAGTCAGAAACAACGTAGCCCTGCGAGCGGGTGCTGAAACCCCACGCGCCACGACGAGGATGCCGCCAGCCAACTTCGGCTGATGTTGCTTGGGTGGGAGGATCCGAGTAAACAGATGAGTCCTCGTAGCCAACAACGTGTTCAAGAAACTGGTGGTCTTCCAGGAACTCTAGACCTTTGAGTAGGAGGTTGTGGTACTCCGGCTTCTGCTCCAGACCAGCATCAACCACCGCTTGTATCGCGAATGCTGTATCCCACACCTGTACGCCGTTGGTGCCGTCTGCCATCATGCCGTCTTTACTGATGAAAAAGTAGTCCTGCAGTCGATCACGATGCCTCAGGACGGACTCCGCGTCCGGACCCTCTGCAACGTAGCAGCACAATGTGTCCATCGGAGCGCTAACAGGTGCCAGGTCGCCCTGATCAGTGTTTGCACCTTCAATCTGGATAAGATGCCAGACCCAATCTTCAGCCTTCTTGATCAGAGCGTCGGTCCGCAGGAAAGGAATCCATATCCAGACAAGGAGCCAATTGATGAGATTCAAGACCCATGTCTTGGGATGGTAGTTATCTTTGACGCTGATGGAGTTTCGATGACTAGCGAAGTCTATCTCGTGGTAAGGCGTCGTGAATAGCTCTTCCCGTAATTCCTTGATCAATGGATCTGAGTCTGCTCTGGGATATGTCCATTTCTTAGACCACAGATAGCCCATTGGTAGGAAGACCATGCGCATGTGGATCCACCAGCGCCAAGGGGCGATTGGCACCCAGTCTGGCAGGAGCCAGAGCTCTGGAGGCACAGGATTGACAATGTCCCATTTCATGACACCGAGGACCGAGAACCAGAACTTACTCCAGTGGGGTCCGTATACTGCGCCGCCCATATCATGAAGGCATCGTCGAGCCTTCACCATACGTGGTTCATTGGCCGGAACACCGAGTATTCGCAAACAGGTATAGTTCATCGCCGTTCCAAAGACCGAGGAGTCGCCTTCAATGTGCAATCCCCAGCCACCGTCGCCACCATTCTTTGATCCAACATTCTGCATGTTGAACAGATAGCGCACGACTTCAATTTGCTCCGGTTGTGTCAATGGCATATCAGTAACATAGAGGGTGATGATAATTCCAGGAAGCAAGAACATCGGTCCTCCATATTCACAAGCCCAGTTTCCTGGCTCTAGTTGTAGTTTCGAGAAGAATCGCAGTCCATTTTCCGCAGCTTGGAGAGGTGTTTTCGCCTTTGGGAGATCCGGCAACCCCTGTGAAGTCTGTCAGGTCTGGGTAGTTACGTACATGGCAGAGTCGCACTTACAGTGTCAAGGCCCAAATGCCATTTATCCGCAATCGTCTGCGGCCATTGCTTGATTTCTTCATCTGATTGTAGGTAATGCCATGTCTGCCGTCCTCGGTCGTCTTTCAGTCGCCATCGAGAATAATCTGTACGGCTGTCGGGTGACTTGGCATTGGCCTTCGCCTGGCCATTCGCTTTCGGCTGCTCCTTCGCAGAGCGATTGCGAAATGTCATGATGTTGCTTTGCTGATTCGCAGTCTTGGGGATTGGTCCAGGACGCGAGGAAACGGGATCATGAAGCCAGCGACATTGCAATGGTACCCTCTCGTACGATGTTTTCCAAGGAGGTGTGGCTAGTGGCGACGGGATATGCAGGTACAGCCGATCACGCGGAAAGAACCTAATCTAATCTCTCTATCGATTCTTGGCAATGAAAAGTTAAAGTTGGAGGAAGTAGCGCTGACTTTACATGGAGTGTGATTTGCTTCGAGAACGCAACGTCCAAAATGCATTCCTCCGGTCCACCAGCGCTCACTTTCGACGAGGTCGACGATCTGCTGTATTTCACTCGGGCGAACGAAGTACAAGACTTGCAGCAGACGATCACAGAACTGAGTCAGAAGTACTCTTGCTCGGCAAAAGATGTTCTAGAGGCAGCGATTGATCCCGAGAGCGGCAACACTGTGCTACATTTCTGCTCAGCAAATGGACTAGCTGAACTCCTTCCGAGCCTGCTCTCGCAATTGGGTGCAGCAGAGGGTACGCCAGCCTCGTTCGTGAACCATGGCAATAAGGAAGGAAATACCCCGCTTCACTGGGCTGCTTACAATGGACATTTGAATATTGTGAAGCTTTTGATTGCGGCAGGCGCAGACATGTGGCAGAAGAATGCAGCTGGACATCTGGCCATGTTCGAGGCAGAGCGCGCGGACAAGAACGATGTGGTTCAGTACCTGCTCGAGGCTGGTGGGAAAGAGGTCGAAAGAGCTGGAGAGGAAGGTCAGCCGTCCGAGGAAGATGTCGAGGATGTGCAAGAGGGTGAAGCAAGCAGCAGCGCTCAGGCCACTGCCGGAGATGTGAACATGGGAAATGCATCTTGAACGGGTCGTCTTGACACGGACATGCTCTTTGCTCCAGCCCATACTGCGAGCAGATCTGCGACACTGAACATCATCAAACATGATACAAGGCAAGGCGACCTTGCGCCGTAAGAAGTTCCCACTCGGGATACTCTCCTCGGTATGGCCGCAGATACACAAGCTGCGCAGTGCTTCTTATGCCGACCCTTCAGCCGAACACCCCACTTCTCGAGTATTCGAAGCGTCTACCAGCAACTACCAAGATTCGGCCCTTTGTTTCCAGCAGAGCGTGTGCTGCTTCGATGCAGTCTTGCAGGTATCAGACTCGTAGAGGAAGACACAAGTTGCAGGGTGCATTCCCTCATTGAGAAGTCGACCTTGGGCATACGCCTTGCTCATAACCATTCGATGAACTCTGTCAAGACGATACAAAGACTTTAAACTTCGACCCCAACTCCCGACACCATCTAATGGTGCCAATTCTATGTTGTGACTGGCTCTGAAACAGTCGCTGCACGCTTTTTCTTCCCCAAGATTCCGCAAAATGATTCAATACTGGTTGTCCTTTCTCTATTCCACATGCGCATGGATCGGCAAGACGTTGAACGAGTGACGCATAATCGTAGCTGCGGAACGACAAATATTGAAGGCTACCTGGATCGCGAGTCCCTCCGGGTCAATCTGTAGATAGGACATTCATCGACATGCTGGATACATGTATCATGGCAATTGGTTTCTCAATCTCTCCACGTACACGAGGGCATCACCCTACCAGCGTTGACAGCAGCGTTCTTTCCACTCCTGGCAAAGACACAATTCGGGGAGTTGCGTTGCAGGAGCTACAGCAGACCAGTTCCTGCCCACACGTCGACTGAGGTCCTGGCAATGACCTGCCTCTACCACAGACAAGTGTATTTCCTATGTACACTCGAACAGCAACACGGCAACACGCCAGCATCATGCAGTCAGCAGACCAATTTGCTCCATTCTTGGAGCTCTCCCCCGAACTTCGACTGCTCATCTATCATCACGTCTGGCCCGGACCGGACGATGGTCAATCCAGCAACGCCCCAAACAGCAATATAAGGCGATCGAACATCGCCGCGGAATCAGCACTGCTCCGCGTATGCCGCACAACCTGCATCGAAGCATCTCCCATCTTCTTCACCAAAAACGCGTTCGTAGCCACAATCGCAAGCGACAGCTGGCACTGGCTTCCTAAATGGCTCCAACTCATCGGCCCCAAACACACCTCACTCATCCCCAGCTTAACAATCGAATGGCATCTCTCACAGCGCACACTCGACTGGTTCGCAACCCACCATAACAGAATCTGCCATTGGGCAGAAGACGAACCATCTTGTCAAAAGTCGACCGCAAGCCTTCCCATCTTAACCTCCCCCGACGTCGGCTTCGCCCTCGCACTCGCCACAGCATACCCAGCTATCCCCACCGACCTCCATGAATACACGCAGCTCGAACTCACGAATACATGGGCAGCCATAAATTTAGCCATTGCCTTCAAGAACGTCCCCGGATTGCATCTCAACAGAATCCACATTCCTGAGGATTCTCCTCCAGGAATTCCACCCTTCACTTCCGTGGCGGGCTCGGGGTGTATGGAGGAAACGAAAATTATTCGTGATATCTGTGGTCTAAGTCAGATGGTTTTCCATCACAAGCTTGAAGATGATGACGGAGACGGAGAAAAAAGGAGCGGAGAAGAAGATGTAGATCATGAGCAAGATGGGTGAAGGCATGGGCGCGTGGGAGCAATATGGGCAGTGACAGCTGCATCGTCAGAAGTCTTCGAACAATAGTGCCGGTAGGCCGACATTCGTCGCAGCACAGTCTTGCAAATGTTGTCATTAAAACATCATGTCATAACGAGCTACTTCATAGCTCAACCTCTTCGCTGATCGAGACCACCCTCTACCTCGATCACGATCAACTCTTAGCAGAGCGAAGAAAGAGATATCCTACAACGCCTCGCTGCGAATATAACCTACACCACCTCCCCTCTTCAGCTTCGCGCCTGAGCCCTCTAACTCTGCTCTAGCATCTCGAATTGATTTTCAAAGTGCATTTAAAGCTTCGACTCCAATTCCTCAAACTCCGAAAGGTCCTTCACAGGCTTCGGGTTAGCAGCAAGCGGCAAGCTAGCCTTCCAGCCCTTCACATCCTCCACAAGAACTCTCTTGATCTCCTTCACAACTCCATTTGTGCCGTTCGTTTCGGTCGTGCCATTAGTCTGCTCAGCATCGTGTGTAGGAGCAACAACACCAGCAGCCGGGAAAAGCTGCGGCAGAGCCTGTTCGCCTTGTGCAAGCACGACCTTGGTACTCTCCTCGTCGAGTCCAACAGCCGCGAGCCATGTGCCAATGGCTTTGATTGTAGCTGGAACATCTCCCTTGGAAATGTCGGTCTTGCCCAGGTTCTCCACAAGCTTCGTCCGGTCTTCAGCTTCGCATTGGAGACCGATTCCGGAGAGCAAGGCGATGATTTGATCAGCCAACTTTTCACTCTTCTCGGCATCTGTGGTCTTAGCAGCAATCTCTTCGGGAGATGACTGGGCGACCAATTGAGTGGCAAAGGTCGAGCGAACGGCAGAGCTAGGGCTGAACCGTGTCATATAGAAGTCGACCATATCTTCCTTGGTCAACGTCTCGAGGACTTCGACATCGCGGTAGACGAGCTCGAAATCGAAAACCTCAGAAAGGACGTGGTGCCATAGGCGTCCGCTTTCCTGAGACAAGTTCTTCAACTTTTCGAGGCGTTTGTTGATGACACCAACCCTATGCTCCTCGAACTCTGTATCTGACATCTCTTTGATGGCCGTCTCAAACTCCTCCAGGAAGAGGTCAGAGCGTTTCAACAGGTACTCGCAATCCTTCTCACTCTGGATGAGGATGCGGAACACGGCAGCGTTGCCAACGATCATCATCGAGCCATTGACAATGTATCCCAACTGCTCTTTGGTTCGCAGTGTGTCGAAGACAGGCTCGTGAAGCACCTGGTCAAGTAACAGTGTTTTGGCGCGTGTTTGACGATTGCTCGCATCGCCCACATAGATGCAGTAATCGAGGCAGTGATTCACGTTGTCTGGGTTCTTGAGAGTCTTCTTCCACGCAAAATTGGATCCCTCTGGCAGGTTGATGTAGCGCTGCGTCTCCCATTGCGTGGGAGGCAATGGATGAGGCTTGAGCGTCTTCTCAACGAGGTCTGCCATACGAAGTGCATCTTCCTTGTAGAGGTTGCCATGGGCGAGGATCTCGATATGCATCTGGCGCATCAAAGTAGGGATGAAGTTGCGCACATCGTCGGCACTGACGTTAGGCAATTCTGCCAGGAGATCTGCTTGGCTGAAGGCGCGGTCTCGGGACAAGAGTTGGGTGTAGCGACCAATCTGCCTGAATGGCTCTTGCAGCTCAAAATTCTGGTACGTGCGGGCCATGCGTTCCTTGATGATCTCGAACCGGTCATCCTTGACTTCGAGATCGCGCATTGTGACCAGGACTTTCTCAAGAAGCACATGCATCTTGTCGTTGTAGCCACCAACCGAGACCTCGAACGCGTTGGCAGTTCGTATTAAGCCGTAAGCCAGACCAGCCAGCTCGGCGTCGTAAGCGTACTCTGTGAGACTGTCATCGACAAGCTCTTTGAAGAAAGTGGAGAGCACAGCAGTGTATGCGCTCATGTAGCCCATTGGGCTGCGCAAGTAAACGTAGACATTGGCTTTGGGCACCCAGAACGTGTCGTCCTTCTTCCACCATAGACGCACATTGCCATCATTCCGAATCAAAGTGGGCGAGAGTGCAGTCGAGATGATATCCTTCTTCTCAACGTCCAAGCGCTGTGGAATGAACTCGTTCTTTGCAGGCAGGTGCAGCTCGGCTGGCCTCGATTGTTTCGACACGGCCTCGAGCTCTTGCAGGAAGTCGCTTGGAATTTTCTGAATGGTGTGCTCAGTGCCATACCATTGCTCCTTCTGATCGAATTTGGCCATATCCCCTGTAAAGTCTTGCGCAGACATTGTGAATCGGAAGTTGTCAGGTCGAAGTGCGTTCAAGCCTCTCAAGATGGCCTCCGGATCGTGCTTTCGAACCAAATGCTGCCCGCTCAACAGCCATTCACGTGGCAGAGGCTTGTGCATAACTCCACTCATATGGCTAGTAGTACGCGATGCGGGAATCTTTTGCTTGAATTTAAAGTCGATTTCAGCGAGCTTCGCGGTCTCCTGAGTGATCCACTCTTGCGGAGGCTGCTCTTTGATCATGGCAATGTATTGAAAGATGGTCTTGATGATCTCTCGATAGTGTACCAGACCTTGTGAAGTCAATCTAAGGCCGATCGAGAAGAACGCAGTCCCCGGGCAGATTGGCGAGGGACCTGCACTGAGCTCCGATACCCAGCCCTTTGCCTTCAAATAAGCCAGGATACTGCCCGGACCCTCGTGGCCTATTAGGTGGCCCAGATAGCGACCAGGCATTGATTCGTATAGATTCTCCTCATCTGGGTATGGGAAAGAGAGATCCAACATACGCTGGTCCATGACTGGCTTGGCAAAGGTCTGTGTGCACAGCTCCTTTTCTGTGAGCACTGGCACGTCGTCCCATCGTAGCTTTGGCAAGTCCTGGTTTGGAATATCGGAAAAGAGCTCCTCTACCCACTGCTGGAGCTCGTCTAGGCCCTCCCTCCCCAACACACATAGTTTCATTCGATTTGCGGAATAGTTCTTTTGGTAGAATTTGATGAACTCGTCGCGGATTTTGACGCCTCTCGCGATGGGATCATCGTGTAGGATTTTGTAGTTGCCTGTTGAGAACAGATGGTATGGATGTTGCTTCGCTGCCGTGCTCTTTGCCAACTGCATCATTCGCCAATTGTCCGCTTGCAGGTTCTTCTTGTTCTCTGAGTCCACCGCTCGTAGCTCTCGCTCCAGACAGTCCTCTCTGAACAAGGGTTTGATGAAGAATTGCGCGAACCGATCGAGGGCGCCATACAGAGGTGCTTGGCCCTTGGGTACTGTTAGCAAGCTCGATCGACTCGTGTTTGCTGACGATTTGGGACTGTTCGATGTGGACGAGGCTGAAAGCTCGAAGTAGTAGTTGGTGTCGGTGCCTGCTGTGAAGGCATTGCTCATGCCGCCGTATTTGGTAAGGAATGAGTTGTAGTCGTTCTCCCCAGGGTACTGTGCAAGACCAGATTAGTTCAGAAGCACTCCGTTGCCGAGAGATGTGCTCACCTTCTCAGTGCCCATGAACAGCAGATGCTCGACAGCATGCGCCATTCCTTGCATCTCTTCCGGATCTGAAAGACTGCCGACATTGACGTCCATCGCGGCCGAAGCCTTGTCTGTGTCGGGATCATGGATAAGCAATGCCTCGAGCTTGTTGGGCAGCTCAATGACTCTGTACGATCGATCATCTAGCAATGGCTTCTCGAGGTTGTCGGCCAAGCGTCGCGTGCCCTCTGGGCGACTGCGCAGAACATTGTCTGCGTTCATGATGGATGATGTGTTGGCAATGGACGCGCGCTGGTGTTGAGGGAGAGGAGAAGTAGGCCTGGGGGATGGCGTGCTACAACGAAAGGCGGTGGAAGAGGACAGGCGTTGATGGAATGGCGGATGCTGCTGACGAAAGACGGCGGCACAAGTGTGAGTGGCGAGCAGCGGCGACTTGTCAATTGCACAGCGGGCAGCGAAGTCGAGGGCGGTGGTGACGGTTGCAGTCAGCGGAACACAGGCCAGCAGACGTGCGCGCATCGACGGACGGGCGCAGCGTTGGGCTTGATATTGTTGTCCAGGTATGGCCGCCGTCCATCAATGTCCCCGCGGCACGAGTCTCCCGACGCAAACGACCAAGCCCAAATCTCGCGCGGGGAGCCAGGGAGTCGTCGTGCTGCGCGCGCGCTTTGTCGTCAAACCGCCGTCGTTGTTCGTGCGCTGCTGGTGACTGTTTGTGCATGTGTATTACCCCGTTTCCCGCAGCTTCGGTGCGCTTTCCTTGATGGTCTACAGCACAGCTCACTCCTCTGCGTTATCTTCACCGGCGGAGGCCAGCCCTATGCATGCACACCTCCTGCAGGCATGACGCTGATCTGCCAGATCATGCATCCGCTGCACAACCCACAAACCCAGATCTGCAGGGGCAGGAGCTTGGGCGAGCCGCTGACAACACAAAAGCTCTCCGACGGCGACGACATCCATCAATGTCACGGTGCTGGAACGGATATGGCGTGCTTGTCGGCACATCTCCCACCGCTCGGCGTCTTGAAACGCACCCGCTGGCCACAACGCGGACTCCAGCCGATTTGACCACGTCGCGCATATCACTCCCTCCCGCAACCAGACTGCACAGCTGCCGGACGCACGGTACTCGTTCGTAACCACGACGCCGCACCATTGAAGACTGCTAGATTCCACCCATGAACCCCGTCGGCGCGTTTCACAAGTGAAAAACTTTCATCGCAACGTTACCGCGTCCGCATCACGATCTGTATCAACAGCGATGAGCCTGGCAGGAGCAAAGCAGCGCCGCTGCTGCATCTTGGATTGACTTCACCATTGCCATCTCGCTCTGCTGGTCGGTTGAGCCGGACCAGTGTCTCCTACGCTGGACACACCGGAGCATCCTCTCCACACGTCGATGTGTAGAGTGTCTCCAAACCAGTTCTGCGAATTCTACCTTGCCTACTTCCCGATTCGTCATGTTGGGCGGGCGAGCTTTTCCGGACTTTGCGCTCATGCATGAACACGGCACCTCTGATATAGTTTCGCTATCGGTAGGTCAACTCAAGTGACATGGCTGCGCATTACATGTGAGAGCTAAACCAGAGCACGATGGGCTCCGCATCTGTCCTTGGTGCTGTTGTACTGCCTCGACAGAAGACTGCCGACTCGGCAACGGATGACACACAACGATTGTTGGACGCCGTTGGTAGATCAACTCCAATTACTTCAGCTCATGTCCACAGTCGTGCTGCTAAACGACCTTGGCAGTAGGATTGCTGAGGCATTCACAAAACAACCTTAGAGCAGTGCAGATCATTGCTACACCTGTAAGGCCACCTCACAATGTGCCAACTTCTAGCTTGCCAGGAAGCTGGAAGCTATCGTCTTTCCGTGCCATACCAGCACTCGGCGAATTTGCAATCGCGAGTGTCGCACAAGAATGAGTGCTCCTCTGCAACCTATCACTATCCGTGGTCGCTACTTATGGCAAGGACAGAAACGCGTAAGGCCGAAGTCTTTCAACAAATTGCCACTTCCACTGATCACACACCAAGTTCATCGTGCGCGGTGTAGTGTATCAAGACAACGCTCTTGACCGGCAACCATATGACCCTATCACAGATGAAGAACTTCCAAGGCTCCGGCACGATGTTGCACTGTTCAAAGAACTGGGTGTAAACACCATTCTCGTCTACAAGATCGAGTCCTCTAAACCGCATGCACAAGCCATGAAATTGCTCGAAGACGCAGGCATATATGTTCTCACACAGGCCTATCCACTTCTAAGAGGCATCAATCGTTTCGACCCATATGGCTCTTATAATGCTGAGAATGTGCAATCCTATTTCAGAACAATCGATCTTATGGCATCTTTCCCAAATACGCTGGGTGCCTTTGTCGCTAATCGACTGATCAATTCATCAATGAGCGACGAGGCTTCCAGAGACTGCACACTCGTCATCGCGGCTGTCGTCCGAGACGTGAAGAAATACATGCATCTCAAGAATCAGACAAGAGGACAACGTATTCTGCCTATTGCCTATGGAGCCGACAATGATGGGTCCCGCGATAGGCAGATCTTCGAGTATCTGCGTACAAGGGAGCAGTCTGAGCGGATAGACTTCTGGACAGTGAGGCACGCCTGCCAAACGGGGCAAAAAAACACTTTGCTAACATGGCAAATAGTTCACAAAATACACCTGGAACACAACCTTCTCAACTTCACAAACAGAATCATCGAACGACTTGGTCAGTCACTAGTCATCACAAGACACAAACCCGCAAAAACAAAGCAACTAACTCGCCGCACCATCCCAGACTACACCCTTCACCCACGCCAACATCCCCATCTTCCTCTCCGAATACAGCTCCAAATTCCCCTCTCCTCCCCCAACCGAACCCGTGCAAACTCCAAACGCACCACCTTCCCACTCCTCCTCCTCTGCCACAAAAACCCTCCTCACCTCCCCAACAACAACCCACCTCTCCGGCGGCTGCCTCTACGAATTCAACCACAGCTCCAATAACTACGGTCTCATTCGCCTCCTCCCAAACACTCCAGGTTTTCCGCCAGGCTTCCAAGGCTCGAATCTCGAAACCGAGAGACAAAATGCTGTAGAACAGAGACAAACAGAATTAGGAATTGTTTTGATTATGCAGGAATTCGTTGATTATCGAGAGACGTTGAAGGATTTGAGAGAGCATGAAGAAAGTGATGTGGAGGAAGCCGAGATGTCGGACAGAAGCAACGTGGCCGAAGAGCGAGAGGAAGGAATTGGGGGTCCCAGACCGAGTGGAGTCACTTCTCCAACAACTCCACACGCAATAATGCCCGAGCAAGGCGAAAGCAGTAGTTTTAGAATTACGGGTGAAGTGCCAGAGAGTTGTATTGATTGGGAAGAGGAAAGAGCTCGAATGGAGTCAGATGAGTAGTGATGGCCTTTCATGCGTGTTTGGTCATACGGTTCCGAGTACGTTGGGCGTCTACAGCGATAGAAACCCCTCACCATCGAACCAACCTTTGTCTATAGAACATCAGATTGTGTCCGCAACCAGGCGTAAGAGCACCCGTCTCTCTCCATGTCCTAGCGCCTTCGCAATGATGAAAGCTTTCGTTTGGTAAAATTTCCGTCAGGTGATCCTTAGGACGCATTGCTCGCCTACCCATTCGTCTGTCTCGTATCTAGATTCCATTTATCCATTTCCGTCTTCTGAAGTTTCATCTCTTCACTGGGCGAGGATGTAAACCAGTTCTATATCGTGCCCCGCTAATACGATGCATTGTACGCTTTTGTAAAAGTACTGCTGCGACCAAGCTCTCATCTAGAGCTTGTTAGGCTCAATCTGGTGCTGTGGCCACTGGTATCCTGCAGCGTCGGCGAATTTGTAGCCGTATGAGGAGGTGAAGTCGTCGAGGACAGCTGGGCCGCGGGAGCCTGCAAAATCGGTCAGCTATTGTTATTCGTTCGTGGCTCTGATTGAACTTACCGTATGGGTAACCCATTGGAATAATCTCCTTGTTGTCATCGAGGTAGTGCAGGAGAGGAGTGAAGATGCGCCATGAAGCATCAAGCTCATCGTCACGCACAAAGTTGGAGTGATCGCCCTTGAGTGAGTCGAGGATCAAGCTCTCGTATGCCTCTGGGATCTTAAGATCAGAGAATCGTCGTCGGTAGGTGAGATCCAGCTCAGTGACAACCGTCTGCATGCTGAGACCAGGCAGCTTGCTGTTCATCTTGATATAGATGCTCTCGTTTGGCTGCACTCGGATCACCAGCTCGTTACGCGGGATGTCCTTGAAGATACCAGACGTGACATCCTTGAATTGAATGCGGACTTCTGTCTTTTGCTCGTTCAGAGCCTTTCCTGCCTTGAGGATGAATGGAACACCATCCCAGCGCTCGTTCTTGATGTAGGCGACCATGGATGCAAAGGTGGGGCATCGCGACTCCTTAGGCACGGTGTCGTCCTCCTTGTAGCCTGGCTTGGAGCCGTCCAGCGACTTTTCATACTGGCCAATGATGACGTTCTTTGGCTCAATGGCAGGCATACCGCGGAGTACGCGCACCTTTTCGTTTCGGATATCTTCAGCGGAGAAGGAAATTGGGCGCTCCATGGCGAGCAGGGTCAAGATCTGGAGCAAGTGGTTTTGCATGACATCGCGAATGATGCCGAACTCGTCAAAGTAGCCACCACGTCCCTCGGTGCCAAATGGCTCCTTGAAGGTGATTTGCACGTTATCGATGTGGTTGCGGTTCCATGTTGCTCCAAAGAACTCGTTTCCGAAGCGCAAGATCAGGATGTTCTTGACCATCTCCTTTCCAAGGTAGTGATCAATACGGAAGATTTCCTCCTCCTTCCAGTTAGGTCGCAGAGCCTGGTCAAGCTCGCGCGATGACGCAAGGTCCTTTCCGAATGGCTTCTCAATGATGATGCGTGCGATACCAGTCTTGGGGTAGTTGTTGCGCTTCAAGTGTTCGGAGACGGGAATGAAGACGGAAGGAGGCAATGCCATGTAGAACACGCGGTTGGTCTCCTTCTGACCCTTCTCCAGCTCTTGCAGATGCTTCTCGAGCTCCTGGAAGCTCTCATCCTTGTCGTACTGCCCGCTCACGTAGGTGGTGAACTTGGAGAATTCGTCCAATTGCTGCTCCATCTCTTTTGTTGGAGTTTTGATATGTGACTTGACTCGCTTCAAGTATTCGGTGTGATCCATCTTCGTTCGAGCGTAGCCGACGATCTTGACATCGCGAGGCAGGAAGCCATTTCTGAACAGGCCAAAGAGTGCGGGAAAGGTCTTCTTCTTTGCGAGATCACCGGACGCGCCAAGGACGATAATGACGGTGTTCTCCTTGAGCTCCATCGTGCTGCAAGCACCCGCATGTCAGCCGAGTCCTCAAGTGCGTGGTGTTCCACACCGACAACAACGGAAGAGTGCGGGGAGCTGCATTTCGGCCAAATGCACATTTCGCAAACCAATGTCGCTCGATGCGCATTCAACGCGACGAGCTCCCACGTTGTCGGAGCTGGCAGCAAAGTTTCACCGAATTGTTGGACTTACCCGGCGTTCTGCTCCTCCTCGCGGTGGATCACCGTGCTCGCCATGTCGTCGGTGTGGTGGGTGAGTGCAGTAGGGTAGAGGTGCGGTGAAGGGAGATTGTCAGAGCAGAGGGGGAGTCTGCTGACAATGAGTAGGAGGATGATCAGAAAGATTTGTTGAGCAATGCTTCGAGGTTGACGTGTGGTGTGGTGGGGTCCACAGGCTGGCTGAGTGTAAGGCTAAGTCCCTGCCCGCGATCACGGCTGCTGAGACGGTGATGTCAAGGCGATTGCTCACGGCCGCTCGGTGGCGATACGCAATGCACTCCTGCGCGGCAACGGACAATGCCACTCTGCTCTGTGGAGATGCACGAAACGCGAGTGAATGTCTTCTACCTGCTGCTGCTGTTTTCGTATCCGGACAAGGCGGGCGGATGCTTGCTCAGCAATTACCAGCTCCAAGGCCAGAACGATAGCCGTCTCACACGCGCTGGAGAATGAGCCGCAAAGTCCGTCACCGTCACAGGCACAGCACATTACCACAGCACATCACTCACAGCGGCCGGATCTCGCTCTCCGGGAAATGTCCCGACGCGCATCATTCGTGCTCTGCCTCGACTAGATGCTGATAGCCTCTTGCGCGAGCATGCGCTTCCATCCGGCTTCGCAGTGACACCGTAATGGCAGCGAGGCTTCTGTGCTTCGCGCACTAATCACTCACCCCCGTTGATTACCGAGCAGACGTTAAAAGGTGCAGAGCAGGCCGAATCACTACCGATGCAGCTGCGTCTCGCGTTGCTGGTTTGCAGCACAAGGAAACGTGGGTATCGGATTGGTGCTATACCACAGATACCATCCCAATGTAGCCAATTTTCGCAGCCGTCGACTGTATCGTACGAGCAATGCCAGGTGCGACACAACGGGTGTTCTCTGCTTATCCGCGGACCTGATGATAGCAGCGCAAATATTTTTTTGCCCCAATGGTGCCCTGCTTGGAGCAGGAGCGACGCTTCCATCAAGTGAATGGCGAGCAACTGCATGCATATGCGGCACTGCATTCGTGCCATTGGGGTGTCCAACATCTCCGGTAGCACGTTGGGGGTCATGGACATGACCAGCTTCTCCGTCTCACAAAGACCGAGTCAGAAATTCAAGAAAATTGTGGTGACGGCCTTGATGCCTGACGACTGTGACGGCTACTGCCGCGTGCCGTCTACGCTAGCTTGAACGAGCACCGGATGTTGCCGACTCTCCCACACTTGGCAAAATCGAATTAACGACGCAGCGCATCTCCCGACTTCTGCGGACGATAGCGACGACAAAACACCCAGCGAGCCCACCCAGAACACCGCCAACATGTCCGAATCACAGGGTCACCGTCTTTACGTCAAGTCAGTACCGCCCTCGCCACCGCTGCTCGAACGCCCTCCGCTCCGCTGTCTCAAACTCGGGAAACAAATAGCGGCGGTGGCATTGGAATACACCCACGGACAGTCGTACTGACTGAATACTCACAGGGGCAAGCACCTTTCGTACCAGAGGGGCAAGCGCACCACCAACCCAAACACATCGCTCATCAAGGTTGAGGGCGTCGACGACCCAAAGGCCGCATCTTTCTACCTGGGCAAGCGCATCGCATACGTCTACCGCGCCAAGAAGGAGGTTAGAGGATCTAAGATCCGTGTCATCTGGGGCAAGGTCACGCGGACACACGGTGCGTAGGAGATGTGCGAGCGAGTCGAGGTGTGGTCAGGTATACTGATAAGGATCTAACAGGCAACTCCGGTGTGGTGAGGGCACAATTCAGACACAACCTGCCATCCAAGTCGTTCGGCGCCATGGTTCGCATCATGCTTTACCCGTCCTCGATATAGATACGACCAGCCGCAACGACTACCCTGCGATGGAACCACACGACATGCATTCGGGAGCGCAAACGGCGACGGGGGGTCACTTTTGGGCGGCAGTGCAAGGCAGCAAGAGGACGCGAGTAGGACTATGGGTGTCTGAGAGCGGGCCATCTTTGCTGCCGCAAGGGCGATGGCGTAGAAAGGAAACTTGTCAGGCTGTCAGATATACGGCTTTGTTTCTGAGTCATGGAAATGCATAAGACACTAAAACCCAAAAGGACATCATGCTCACGATGACAATGTGCAAAGACATTCCACAAAGCTTCGAGTTCATATGAGAGGCTTCCACGGCGACGTGATGAGCTTGAAGATGGCTGCATTGCGTCATAATACAAGAGACGGAAGGCTGACTTGAACAGAAATCACCACACTTCCCACGAATCCTCCAGCAATGGTCTACAACATCGCACGTACCATCACGAATCCCATACAGTCTTCCGCTCTCAACTGCTGCGACGTCCAGTCCGAGACGACAGTCGAAAGTCTGCGCCACGAAGCGCGTTACTACGTCCAGAGGAGCCGTAATACTCCCTCCCATATTCGGCCTACGGTGAGACGACACAGCACGCAACCACGACCTCGACTTCTCCGTCTTCAGCCCGAACCGAGCATGCTTCCGTCTCTTCACGACTCTGGAGCTCCGCTCTTTCCAAGATTCCAACACGCCCTCCTGACCAGGCCACCCCGCAGCCTGCACTCTCCACAAACAGCAACCGCAACTAACAATGCAATCTACCTTGTCCAACAAATCCAGACCTCTGGTAAACAATGCCAAGATTCCACAAAGCGAACATCGGCACTCATGCAACGACTGCCTCTGGAACTGCGTCACAGCATATCCCGAAATCGGCGTGCTTGGCATATTTATCGACATGAGGCAATTCGCTTCAACATCACTCCTTACCCACGACCATGTGCATGCAGCGCCATCACAACCTGCCTACACAAAGACATTCGAGGATAGGATAGATAAAGATGAGATTGCCGACAGGAATACAGCACAAAACCCACGACTCACTCATCGCCGTCACATTGATTGCATTCACTCTTACTTTTAACTTTACTCTTGCTTCCCTCTTTCCTCTCTCATCTCCCACCATAACAATCACACTGTCGTCTTTTGCGTTCGATCGCTCTAAGCGTGATATATGTACAAAACAACAATCCAAACCCACCAAGGATTAGCGCCCAAAAAAGTGTTGCCCCCTTCCATCCCTCCTCCCATCGACCAATTAATCGGCCGGCCTGCTGAACACCAAAATACCAAGAACTTGTACACCACTGCCAACCAATTCCCAATGCAAAAGAAACGACAGCAAGAATCTCTCTCTTCTTTTGTGTGTGAACGTAGCCGCTTCCAAAGATGAAATCAAGCTCCGCCAAGAGAAGATCTCTCGACGGATACTCCAAACCGGTCAAAACGAAGATGAGAAGCCAAAGACGCTCGCTTTCTTTCCCGTGGCAATAAAAAACCAAGCGTGACCCGAGCGAGACCCAAATCCTCTGTGCGTCCTACGTCGGCGTCCTTCCCCCATCATTCCCAACCGCCGTATCAATCCTCAACGTTCGCACATCATTACCCATCGACCTGGTCTGACTCTCCGCACTCCCTCTCCCAGGATTCAAATTCGAACTCGTCGGCGGACTTCCAGCTCCAGCACCATCAAGCAAAAACTGCCTAAAACTCATCCCATGCTTACTCTCATCAATCGGCGAAATCTGCGGCGCACCACTCCTCGACGCAGCATGCGGTTGTTGTCTCGGCGTAGGAAATTCAATCGGTTCCGTAGGATGTTCATCCTGCGGAGAATCGAAATACCCCACTCTTCCAGTATCCAAATCTGCTTTCGGTGTAGTATCAATTTTGACTTGCTCGAGCATTTTCCCAATACTGCCTACCGAACCCGGTCGTTCGAATTTTTCGTCTTCGATTTCCATTTTGACGGGGACGTTGTTGAGGAGACACCAGTTTCGATGGAGATATTGTTCGAGGCGGTAGCATTGGCGATCCCATTGTTCTGTGAGGAGACGGTGTGTGGTTTGTACGTCTTGGATTGTGAAGGATGCCGCGTGGCTGTGTGAGCTGCCTGAGGGGCTGTGGCTGGCTTTTTTGCTGGGTGGTAGATTGAGCGATAGTGGAGAGACATTACGCGTCTCGTGTAGAGGCGTTGATCGTCCGTATGAAGCAAGTGCTGGGAACGAAGGTGTATAGCTCGATGCTGCCCGTGAAGTCGTCTTACGCATGCTCGCTAAGCCTTTTTTCACTGGGGAAGAGTGTCCTACAGGAGCTTTCCCGCTACTGAGCGATGTTCGAGGCGGATCGAGTTCAGACATTGTCCTCATTGTTGCTTCCGCTGCCTTGAATGCCGCCGCTCGTCCGTCGTTCATAGCTGGCAAGAAGACGAGTACTGTATTATCAGTCAATGCATTGACCAGATCAGTAAGACCATGCAGAGGGATTTCGTTGTTATCGCAATGGAGCTCCAGAAGAGTGCGATTCAGCCGTAGCACTTCAGCGAGAGTACTCGCGCCTCTTATGCCGAGCTTCTGCTTTTCCACTTTGAAAACCTGCAGAGACGTATTATCCTTGAGTCCCTTCAGTGCTTCATTGATGCCAGGCCCAAACTTGGAAGTTGCCAAGCGGGAGTCATCCCCAGATATGTCGAGCTCTATGATCGTTTCGTTCTTGGCCAGCAGCTTCGCAATGGCAGCGCATGTATCGTCGCTTGCGTCTCCTGGAAGACCTGTCTGAGAAATGTCGAGGCATCGAATGCTTTTGTTTACAGTGAGCGCTTTCAGTATTTTCCTGAACTGCGACTCCTCTTTGTACTCGATCGAGCGCATACTCAGGTGCGATGGCGTGAGGCTGTTGGAGATGGCTTGAGTGACCTTTTCAAGACCTTTGCTCACTACGCACTGGCTGATGTCGAGGTGCATGTCCCGTGGCGCAGCGTTCTCCCACGACATGCTATGAAGGAGGGTTGCTACGTCACCGCCTGTGAGGTATGTGTTGTCGAGGTATAATTCGTGCAAGCTAGCTGACTGAGGATGAGCAAGATACGTGGAAATTGCATCGATGGTGTTCGCATTCAGAGTTGTGCCAGTGAGACGCAGTTCCTGGAGACGCCACATAAGCAGCGTCTCTGCTTGTATGAATGCCTCGCTACCGGACGTCCTGGAGACGTTGGAGAGGTTCAATTTTCGAATGAAAGCAAACATCCCCAGCTGGCTGTCGAAGGCGGAAGGACTCAATCGGGCGCTGTTACCAGCGATCTCGAGTGACTCCAATGTGTTCTCTTGCGCACGGAGGGCATCAAGAATCAGTCCCAAGCTACGATCGTTCAGCCCACATCGATTGAGCTCGATGGCACGAAAATGACACGACTTATCCACGGCGGCACCAACCAAATAGTCCTGATCAGTCTCACTCAGTTCTATGCCATTGAGACAAATCCAGTCCACGTTGGTGGTCTGATGTTTGCATAGTGGAAACAGAGCCTCAACCACACCACTACCTATGTCAGGGTGTCGAGGAGCCTCCTCATTCGTAGGTGTGGTGTCGGCGTGTTTGACTGTAACGCAACCAGAGAAATCCATGCGTCGCAGCTTTTTGCTGGTCGCGGCAATTGCGCGAACCTCTTGCACAAGCAATGACGACCGACTGAGCTCGTCTGCACTGAGCCTGATGGGAGTACCTCGCTTAGTCCGTGTGCAGACGTGCTCGTTGCCATAATTGTCATGCAGGCCGTTCAGCGAGTCTAGATTGATTCCAGCGAACGAGATGCTGCCAAAAGATTCATTGTAGCGAACAGCACGCATGATGGCCAAGAGTTCAAGAGGGCCATAACTCGGTCGACGCAGATCTGCAGGAGCGAGAAGTTCGAACCGCGGAGCATCTTCGCAGCTGTAGTTGATTGTATACCGGATATTCGAGGGGTTTACGCCATACGCTACACAGTATGCGATCAAAGTGCGGTCCAGACAGTTGTGTTCCTCAACATCCGCGGCCGCTGGCGGCAGGAGCAGATCATCGACCTCGACAGGCACTTTGAACCTAAACAGTCGATAGCCGCACTCCGGTCGCAGGAAGTTCTCGGACCAGTGTAATCTTGCAGCGATCTCGAAGGACGAAGCTGAAGCAAGGCATAGCACGCGAGGCTTTTGCATCGGCTGTCGGAACACGAGCTCGAAAGTGTCATCATCGCTACTGACTTTAACTCCAATCAAGGTCAGAATCCCAAACGAAGCCTGCGAGTGATTGGGAGCAATGAGCGGGCTGGCAGTCCTTGATGGGGGTTTGGCAAGCGCGATTAGATGTACTTTGTGCACACCAATCGCCAGGAAGCACACCGTAGATGAGACTTTCGTCAAGTCATCCGATGATGATTTGCTCCCTGACTTGACTGCCGGCTGTCTCTGCACGACCTTGTAGATTGCACAATTCGTAGGGTCGTAGTCATGTTCTCGTTCCACAATTCGCGCGGCATGTTCAAGGCTTCGAGGCGAGATCAAGGTCGACTCCTTGGACCGCAATTCGCTCGCAACGCTTCGTATTCGTACCAGCCAGCCATCTCGCTCCTCTGGATGTGCGAACTGAAGCGTCATGACTGACGCAGAACCAGAATCCTCGTCCAAGTAAGCCACTTCCAGCGCAAAGTATGGTTTCCCATCGTCCAGCTTATGCGTAGCTACAATCTGCCGCAATAGTACTCGGCCATCCTTGTCGCCGGAAGAGTCCGACATCGATTGAAGATCACTGTGTGAACCCGCGGACGGCATTGACGCATGTTTCTGCATGGGACTGCGATTGCTCCCACTAGGTATTGTCCTGAAGTGCTCCGCAGCCTTCGCCTGCGTTTTGTACCGTAATATAGCATACTCAGTGAGCACGAGGTATTCCTTCTTCTTTCTGAACATGCCAGCGCTCGTTTGGACTTCGCCGTGCAGCAGCACATGTTTGGAGGCACCCGGTGAAGCATTTCCGATGCTATCGAGCGTATGATCGAACACCAGCGAAGGCGCTTTAGAGGAGGTGGTCGAAGGCGGTTCGGCACTGGTATAGTTCTGAGCAAAGCTGGACAAGTCCTCAGTGCTCCCTCTCGTCAAGCTCGTCTTTAGCGACTCGAACACTGAGGGTGGCCGCTTGGAGGCTCTCATGGTGATCGAGGGTCGTCTGGATTGCGATCGCGACTGGTCTGCTAGTGGCGTATTCGTCCGGTCTTCGTCGGCCACCACGGAATAGTTCAGATGCCCCAACTGACTCGGCCCTCGCGCATGCTTCGGCTTCTTGCTCAGTGTCTTTGGCTTCTTGACATCTCGGCCGCCATCGTCGTGGAGGTCGGCGCTGGAGCGCAGACCGGCGAGCGACAGTATGCTCCTTCTTTTCGAAGACTCTCTGCCATCCCTGGCAGCCGCCGACATGCTCCTGGAGTTGCTGACTCTCCCGCTGCAGGCCGTAGCGCTGACGATGTCGTCGTACGGAGATTGGCTGGGCGGTATAAGACCAACGTCGTCCAGCTATAGCTCCAACCCGCGCGTGGTGAGCGGCCGTTTGCCCGCAAGTGCTCACACCCCCGCGCGCCACAGCCGGGACAATATAGATGAAGTGAATATAATGGTCGGATTCTGCAGGCGCCCGCACCCAACTACCCCAAGCGCTCGCACGCTTCGTCGTTGTTCACCGGAGAAGATGAGCATTGGGAGGAACGTGAAGAGCGGGCCAGCTGCTGACTAGCCACGCCGACGCCCAGGATGGTGCAGTGCAATGGAACGGCGGCCAAGGGGGTGTCTGGCACATGGGCGGCCACCGCAAATGTGCACACAACGTTAATGTTATTTTAGCTAGGAGCTGTTGCGGCAGTTGGGCTGTGCAGTGACCGGGATGCATCCATGACGAATGGCGCGTGGAACGCCTGGGCTACGCTGGTGTTTCGAGTGCGACCAAATGACATCGCGGGCAGAGAAGCAGACGCCGATCTGCCTTTCGCTTGGGACACCACCAGCACCACCATGATGACCTGCCCACTGCCCCCGCCCTCCTGCGTGATTTCCACCCGCGCCAGCCTGCAAGCGACTCCTCCCCCTCCGCTCCGCTGCCAACAAATGACGCGTTCCAGCCAACACCTGGCAACAGAAGCTTTTGTTGCAGCTGGCGGGCAGACAATAGCGGCAACTCTATTATATGCAAACACCTCACATCCCGGTGCTCAACTTCCACTTTCGCATCTCAGCTGCTTCTTCGCGCATGGTTGCTGACCACACATCTCACCCTCGCCACCGCCGCCGTTGCTCGAAGACATGCTGCATGAAACATACGATATACACGAGGCGCGCCCTCTGTAGCCCGCCTGGCCTTCATACGCCGGCTGCGGCGACGGCACGGCATTGGCATCATGTCCCAGGATTCATTACGCACCTCGACCTTTAGGCGCGAAGTGCTCCCGACCAAGCCGTCTCGAGCAATGCGCAAAACCAAGTTCGAGCGCAGAAAGCCTGCACCACCAACTTGCACGCCTCATGCCGCTATCTGTTGGGATCCCACTTCTGACGACCGATCAGCGAGAAGCACACAGCAGCCACAGCAGCGCCGAAATACGAGACTCCTGCCTGTCGGGAGCCTGCAGTCGATGCTCGTATTGTGAAGTTCGCCTCCCATGTCGGAATCGCTTCCACGCGGCTTTGCGTATACGTTACGCTCCCCCTTCATGATCAAAAATCCTTATCTGGAGCAGCTCGTGCACCATGTCATTCCTGTAGTTCGCTACAGCTCACGACAAACCGGCACGGATCTCGCACAAAGTCTCAGCCGGTGCTCAATGTCTCGGGCACCGGCTGTTCTATAGCCAACGTCGAAGATGCGCGCTGCATGGTAGCGGAGTTTCCGCCGTTTCGCAACATTTGAACCACAAGTACAGAACCGTTGAGCGCCCAGAGCCATAGTCTCGAAAATGCGTTCGCCGGATATCTTGAGCTCATCTCGCAGGCGTCTCAAAGTGCAAGGATCATGGAGCGGACGAGCCCGCCCGTTCACGACACAGCCACAACAACGGTCCATGTACCAGGAATAACAGCGTGATCTGGTTAGACCGAGTCAGCATTATTTTTCCATCGATCGCCTCACAGCCATTCATCTACTGAGACAGCCGCGGACAGAGTGCCGCTACTGCATTGCTCGAACCATACCGCATGTTCAACGACGGCATTTGAAGGATGAAATGAACACATGTTTGCGCCATATGTAAGCACTTATTCTTTCGGTGGTTCGGTCACTTGGCAGTCGAGCCTCTGGTCAGCATCATGTAATGATTGCTGCCTGTAGTGGTGCTCTCTTGATGTTACAGGTAGGCGAGATGTAATTTCGCACACCGCTTTGGGCGCTTCCAAGCCGCTCTCATTTCTGCTGACTAGGATACAAGCACCGCCGAGACACACAAGTCCTTCCTCATGAGTCATCTGAATACAGCAACCGGAAGTATCGCCATGCGAAGCCTAAGCCAAGCCTTAGTCCTATGGGGCTGAGAAGTAGAGTTATGTCAATACCTTGCCATTGGCAACGCTTTATCACAGACTTGGAATAATGATAAGATGATGAGCGCGATGTTCGCAACACAAGATCTGGCTACGATGCCTCTTCTCTATACATTTACTCTAGCCGTGCTCTCCAAAAGGATAATTAAACTTCAGCAGCGAGTTCAGACCGCCAACCCAGTGATCTTGCCCATCAGCGGCACCACCTGAGCGCACAATACTAGGCACTCCTCGGAGCCAGTCTCTTGCTCCTGGAGCTCCTGGCGAGCGCACTTCCTCGCCAACGACTCTCACCTCCATGCCTGCTCTCAGACCTTCTTGTCGTCTTACACCGTCAACAGAGACTTCAATTTCTTTGCCGCGGTTCTGCTTTTCGATGCGAAGTGTGATTGGCGTGTTCGCCGGAAGCACAAGAGGTCGAAATGAAAGAGACCTCGGACAGATAGGCGTCAGCAGAATGGAGGATACCAGAGGGTGAACGATAGAGCCGCCACTTGACAAGCTGTAGGCTGTAGATCCTGTAGGTGTCGAGACTAAGAATCCATCCGCGATGGCGGTCGTCAATGTCTTCTGATGTGGAGGAGAGCCGATCAATATCGTGATATGAGCCAAGTGTGGTAGAGCGCCACGATGCAGCAGCACCTCGTTCAGCGCAAAAATGTCATCGCATTTGCTGTCCGCATGAGCAAAGGGTGGCTCATGAGGAAGTCGCTCGCCCTCAGAACTGAAGATTCCAATGCGAAGTCTGTTCCGTAACAGTATACGTGCGCTTCGAGACTCGCCCATCGATTTGCCACGTGCTTCGGTCCACGCATCAGATCTCTCCTTGAGCTCTGGCTCGTCTGTGCTCTTGGGAGGCACAGTCGAGGGCGAACCCGACATGTACATTTCTCGAAAAGCGCGTTTGTACTCTGCAAACTTCCATTCGCCCAGAAAGCCCAATGTGCCCATACTGAATGAGAGCACTGGTGGCACGCTTTTGGCTGTGGCGAAGAGAGAGGCTGCATGTAAGATCGTGCCGTCTCCGCCAAAGGTAGAGGTAAGGTCAACCTTCTTCTCGTACGCAGAATTACCTTCTCCATTTGCGGCATAGATTGGAAAGTTCAGCTGCTTGTCCACTTCATGGGCCAGATATGGTTCGAAAATGACAGAGGTTCCAGGATAGACTTCGTGAATATGGTTCGCATATTCAATCGCGGCATCGTGACACTCTGAGCTTTCATCTTTCCGGACAATGAGAACATTGCGAGGTGGCACCGGCCATCGTAGCGCCAACAGGTCGTGACTCTTGATCTCCTGGTAACGAGGATGTAGGCGATCCGGGAGTTCAGCGATGCTTCGGACCTCGTGTCGAGCTGCAGAAGTGGTGAAACATCGTGTTGGCGCTCGAATGCTTCGCCAACATCGTAGAAATGCTCTCATGCTCCCATCGTCGATGCCACAATCACAGTCTGACACGTTTCGTAAAAGAGTGACGGCGATGGCTTGGCGACGAGGATGGGTGAAGTTGATGTTTGTTTCATCCACAGCAAGCTCGCGAAATGACTAAGGAGAGTGACTGATTCCAGCTGCGGAGAGTGACTACCCCACACTTTGAAGGCACTTTCACGGCGTTTTGGCGACGCTCTTCAAAATGTACTTCGGACAAGCGAGGCGAGCTTGCGAGCGAAGTGAGTACTCGGAGCTGCGAGCCTGCGAGCAATAGCGACGACGTACGATACCCGAGC